ACAGAGAGAGGTGCAGCAGAGCAGTGGTGCCCACTAAGAGGAAAGTCTAGTCCCGCTAAGTGTGCTCTCCTTGTCTGTGATGGATTTTTATCTACATAAGGAGGAGGTCCCAGTGAGCTCCACCTCCTCTGCAACACGCCGTCAACTTTCCTCCAATTACCTGGATCCTGGAAGGTGCACTTGCAGGTAGGTAGGCTGGCTTGGAGCAGCCAAGCTTGTTAGACAAGTCAAAGTGCCACCCCTGTAAAGTGATCGCACCTTGACACACCCAGGTGCTCACAGAGGAATGGCATCTGAGCCTTGGGTGGGAAGGGAAGAAAAGACATGATCGCAAACACACAATGTAGTTGGAGGAGTGAGAGGGTGGGGCAGGGAACTGTACAGCCACTGATCTACTATTCTCTGCCTTTCATCTTCTTACAAGTTAGATCAAATATGAATACTTTAAACTTTAAACTGTTACGATTTTACCAGGTTTCCAAAACCCATCCTGTTTGAGTGTATGCATATAAATACAGTATACACTATATATGCAATTGTGCATAAATTCCTAAGCACACAAAAGTTTTCATAACCCTTATAAGTGAAAAAATATCCACTCAAGATGCACCAAACTGAAATTCTGGTTAAAATTTGCAGCATAGTAACTATGTATACTATAAAAACCATTTGTGTGTGTATATTCATTTACTTTGTATGCAAACTGTCCAGCTTCCAGTCCTTTTTGTGATGTTGCAGTCAGACATTTAACAAAATAAACAAAATAAAACACAATAAATAAATATTAATAAACAACAAATATGCTGACAGCTGAAATATCATGACTGTCAAGTTTTGTTTAATAACTGTTAACAGTGGTGCAAATCAAAACACTGTTTCCCTGGAGGAGATGTTGTGGTTGAAATTCATATAGTTCAGTGCTTCCATGAGCAGTTACAAGTATGGAGAAGGTAGGAATCTTTCAATGCACAACCAGTACATTCTCTCAGTATATGCCAATAAGCAGGGAACCATTAAGTACACAGAAGACATAAATGACTTTGGATTATCTGTAGCAGAGAGCAGAACTTACATAATGGGGAGAAAAACTGTGTTTGGGGAATGTAATATGTCACTTAGAGTGACAAACAGATGGTGGATGTTCAGAAGAGGCATATTTGAGAAATGCAGCAAGAAAAAAAGCATAGTAGTAAACAAGAGTACAAGACAAAAAACTGGTTTAGCAGGAGGTTCTCTGCAGGCAGCAAGGTACTTTGCACAAAATTAGACAGGTACACACAGAATAGATCTTATACACTGAAGAATTCTTAAAATGACTCAATGGTCCTCTCAAGGCAATCTCAAATATGCCGTAAAAATTAAAATGACATTAGTTTGAAATTAAAACCACTCAACTAAAAGTAATGAATGGTAACTGGGGAGACAAATAAAGTGATCAACGTATAAATAAAGACCTACCTTAAAAAGTGAGTCTTGAATTCCAGAGTTATTTAATTCCACCACCCTATTATTTATGTGTTTGGGCCTGCAGCCTGGGGTTGCTGGAGGCCATTGTACATTCTAGCTTCACTACTCATAGCACTGTAAGTCTTTTAATGGTTTGCGATGATTGTCAAGGTTCAGGGAGTGTTGCTATTTTTTAATTTTGTTGCACACTATGAATATCTGTTGTGCCTTTTTAAAAGTTTCAGCTTTTAAAAAGTAATTTACAACTTGGAAATCTACTGAATTCATGTCAGTGTGCAACTAAAAAAACCTTAGATGTTCACCAGATTTCTTGTTCTGACAGAAATGGAGCTGTTGATACATGTTGAAACTACTGACATTGGTGTTGGCTTCTCAGTTGCATCTAAATGAGCTTTAGGGCACAAATGAGTCACACCCCAAAAGAAAATACCAGCACTTCATTCTCACTTCCAACTTCCAGCTCTTTTCTAAGAACTATGTTCATATGCAACATCCTGTTTGGTCTTCCATTAATTTCATAGAACATGTTTTGGGGAAACAAAAACCAGAGATTATGTTTATATTGGCTAAATGTTTACTGTTAACAATGTTCCTAGGTGCATCTCCAGTTTTCTACAGTACACATGGAGTAAAACATTATATTTGTGGTTATGGCAGAGCAATTGCATCTACTTAATTACTGTTGGGGAGAGATTGTTACCATGCATTAACTGCAACCTGGTTGGCCTCACAGTGGGACCAAGTCTCACTGACAGTAAACAGGCAAAACATGGAGATAAAAATGGATAAAAAAAATAACACTATTCAAAGGCAAGTCAAAACACATTACTCCTGAGCTGTTTTTTGTTGGTGTTCACAGTGTCCTGGAGAGCGTTCCAAAGTATAGCAGTTTAGTGGTAGTTTTTAGTGAGGAGCAACCAACAAACCCTGACCCTAACTTTAGACCTAAAGCTGGATTACAAACCGGTCCCCATGCAGGGCTCTAAAGGTAATCACATGAATCTAGCAACAGCATTTCAGGACTGATTGTAACCGACCAAGGGATGTTTTGTTAAGACAAATGAAAATGCATGTTATGTGCCGTTCGCACCTGTCAGTGAGCAAATGAGAAAGAGGCGGACCCAGGTAGCCGACTTCGATGCAAGCAGTGATTTATTATGTACAGTGATGAGGAGAAATAACAAAATGCACAGAGGGAAATAGTGCGTAGTCCTGTCGATGAGTAGTAACC